ACTTATTAAGAGTCAAAGTTACATCTGACAAACTTATAAGAATCCTCTGTGCTTTGCTCTGGGCTTGCTGGAAACTTAAAAAAACCTATGAGAGCAAATTGGAATAGCATTTAAGCAATTATTTTGATAATCCTAATTTTTCCACTTTGAGGCAAATGTTAAGAACAATTTCACTTTTAAACTTTATATCCAGAAATCCATTCCTAATTTTTAAGCCTCTTATTAATCCTCTTATTAATCTCTTTTATTATTTTATATTTTAGTTTTTAGTTGCATTTTTAAAAAAATATCCCTTAAAATCTTGAGGCCAAGTGTCACTCATTGTCTCTTGGCTGCTTGTTTTAAAACAGATACACATTAAAACTTTTAAACTCAAATGGCAATTTTTCTTTAATGCAAGAATTACAATCACCATCATGATACCAAGAAGCTAGACTTAACAATTTTATGACTTTTAAAAACATATCCTAATTGTAGAACATCATTGAAAGCAAGTCATATTATACAAATACATTTTTAACCCTTTTTTTAAGTCCAAGGAGCAGCTTTAGCAATACTAATCAGATCATTACATCACTAATTTTTACCATCATATTTCTAGTGTTTATCTGTAGAGAAAAAGGACAGAACAAAGATGCCTCCTATGGAATGGGCACGCACCTAATCTCACTCTTTAGGGTTAGATGAACTGCGTTTGTGCCAGCTTCTCCTTTTTCACCATGCGTGGAGTTCTCCCATGGCCCATCCCACCATGTATGACCAGCTGAACTGCACTTTTGCCTGTTTACCCCTTACCCCTAAGATAGGTCTTTAAGGTCTTTTGTTGGCTTTTTAAGGTTTTTCCTTTTCTTATCTCTTGGTTTTTGAATGAAAATACACAGTTTTAGACAGACAGAACAAGTAATGTCTTTGACAGTGTTAAATAAACTTTTATATTTGAACTCCTAATATTTATCCCCAAATTTTAGCCAAGGGACCTAAATTCCAAACAGCCAATGCATTTTTGTTAAGCCAGATAACTTGATTACAGCGTAAACAGCCTTATGCATTTTAAAATACCAGATTTTTTAATTTGTTAAGTTAAAGAATCCTTAAAAAGTCATTTAAAACAATGTGAAAATTCTTCAAAATTTTTGGTAATGTCCAAACCTCATAACCTTTTGAATTTTAAACTTAAACTCACCCAGTTGTTACAGCATGCTGACAATTCTTATCTTGAACATGTTCACAAACACATACAAAACACACACAGATCTTGAAATGTGCAAAAATCAAAATCAGTTGTATGTCCATTTAAAACTGGTACCAATTCTAAAACAGAATGAGACAAGACAACAACCAAAGGCTGAGTTGGGGGCTAATGGGCCCCCAGTTTATCCCTACCTCAGAAAACATAGAACAGAAAACACACTGAAGTAAACAAGACAAACAAATGGCCACAAAGACAAAATCAGGTCTCAGTGAATGGGGCGACATCTCACCACCATTCACAAGTGGGACTCAAACCCACTTACCAGGGGACTCAAACCCCCTCTACTCACCTCTGGAGGATTTTTCTTTTAGATTCCTGCAACCGTTGACCCAGGGGCCTTCTAAGTGGAGGAGAACTCCCAGTCATCTTGGGGCAAGGGAAAGAAGTCCTAGCAGCCATCCCCTCAGACTGACAGGTTCTCCCCCAAACTCTGACCCCCTGGGCCAAGGCCTGAGGCTAAGATCTTGCTGGTGTCACTTGCAGGTGGTCAGTGACAGTTTCATCCGGCTGCGAGTTCTCCCTGCCGGTCTTTTTAAGTTATTGTTAGATCCTCCAGGTTCCTCACCCCCATCACCCCCCTACTTCTGGATCCAGAGAGGGTGGAGGAGGTAGCAGTGAAGGGTAGAAAGGGGGGTCAGTTTAAAGTGTAAGTAAAAAAGAAGGAGCTAGAGAGAAACAGCTATTAAGGGGGTGTTAGGCAGTCTCCACCGGGCTCTCGCATCAGGATGAATCTGAGAGGAGAAACATTCCAAGAATTCCAGAATACATACACACAAACATTGAGACAAAACACATTTACAGCATGCGCGTTGTAGACTGTCAGACAGAAAGTACCGCACTACAGACGGGCCCAAATGTCCGCACTAGTGGATTGTTTACCCTTATGGGGATCCAGGGGAGGGTTCCCACCGGCCCAGTTGGCTGTCATATAGCGAGTCCGCCAAGACCTCTTGCCAACCCCAATACAGAACCTGCAGGCTACACAGATACCAGACAATTACGAAGCAGCAATGTTTTAACTTACCGGTCATTTGCATCATAGTGTCCCTGAATCCTTTTTTCCAATTTTTTTGCTAAGTTTCTAAACTAATGGTTCCTTCCTCCAAGAACCAGGGGCATAATTCCTCAACAAAGTGAAAGAGACATTCTAACTGACTCTGTGCAACTTTCACTCCTTGATCATGAAGCATGCCCTTGAGAGCCTGCACATAAAGCGTGGGGCTGTTACCTTGCCCCATAATATCTTACTCCCGACTATACTCTCTCCCGCTCTCTATTTCAAATTTCTGGACGTCCTCTTACCTTAATGGGGTCCTCTGCCGTGATCCCAGGTTTTCAGGTTCCTGTTCTGGTGCCACTTGCTGGAGCCTGCCTGCAAGGAAAGGGAATCCTGATTTAGGGGGCAAGGATGAGGAAAAAGAAAGACATAGACAAAGGATGGGGTCGGGAGGTCTGCAGCTCAAGACTGCAGCACCGTTTATTTAACTTTCCCTAATAAATACTATTAGAAGTGAAGAGGTTACAATAGCCAGAAAAGCAAGGAAAATTTCAGTAAAAACAGAATGCAGTAAAAACAAGACAAGGTCAACTGGTAGAAAGTAAAACAAACTCTGCAGACATAGCAAAGCAATCCTGGGCACCTGGTGTTTTTAAGTAAGCCAGTTCCTTGTACTTGCCTTCAAGTGAGCACCAGGGTCAAGATGACCTTTAAACTTTACTGTCCACTCCCAACACCATTGTCTTCTGACTGAGCCTTATTTTACATGAGAGTAAGAGAGAATGAAGTAGATAAGAGGCATTGGTTTCTAGCCACCACTTTTATAAAGTATGAAATTTTAGCAAAGAGACATGGCTGGTGTAAGAAATGCCATCAATCCAGTGGGCTATCCGACCATCATTCCCTTCTCCATAGTCAGAGCGATATTCTAGCTAGCCTCTTCTCAAGAACATAGGGTCTTTCAGCTCAGAGCTCCACACCCTCCTTCACCACCCCCAGATCTTAGCTTCTTCATCTTGCTGTGGAGAGAACCCACCTATCACCTGGAGACCCCCAGATCAGGGTTGTGAGGATCCTGAGCTGGGGGTCTATCCTCCCACTCACAGTGTTTTACTTTGGGTGTGAAACTGGAATATGGGCAGGTGCTGAAGCCAGGTGTTTATTTTTCTTTTTATTGCTAATGCTAAAAATAAATTCCATGAGCAAAAGAACAGAAGGTTGACTGCAAGTCACCCATGCTCACCCCTCCCATGCCTCTGCCCCAGGAGGAACCTGTAATTAAGAGTTCTTTTTACTCCTTCTAGACATAAACCTGCCTGTGCCTACAGGCAAGTCATAAATGTGCGTGCAAATACCTTATTTATTGATCAGTCATTAAAATGTCCTTGAGCAAGTTCATCCTACTTTGACTCTCTATCCTGGATTTTGAGTGGTGCCTACATTCACGTGAGCTCTATCAGGATGAAAGGAACTCCTGAGCGAGATTGGCCAAGTGTTCTACTGACAGACCACTGCATGGGCCTGTCTGCTTGCCCATAAGGGGAAGGGTAAAAAGTTCCTTGTGGAGCATGAATCTTCGTGCACTTAGGTGAATGTATCTGCTATATACTGTTCTAGAAGGGGCCCAGTAGTGTCAAGAATAAATGGGTTCAAAATTTAGATGAGGTGGCACAAGATGTCACATACGTTCCAAGTGACGATGCCTGACAGCACCTGTTTCTCTGCCCACACTGGGTATATTGGCATGTTTCAATTTTTTCCAGTCTGATAGAGAAAATGTTATTGTGAAATAACTAAGGTGAAATAACTAAAGAAATTCATTACTCGTTTTGCATGATATGTATTTTTCTATAAATAGCTTATTCACATTGTTGGCTCATTTCTCTATTTTTTCACAGTTTTTTAAAATTAATACAATTTTATCATTATTATTTGTGTGTGTGTGTGTGTGCTGATACTGGGGCTTAATCTTGGCCTTCCACTCTTGCTTGACTTTTTTTTTTTTGCTTATAGAAGGTGCTATACCACTAGAGTCACACCTCTACTTCCAACTTTTTGCTAGTTAATTGAAGTTAAGAGTCTTGCAGGTTTGTCTGCACAGGCTGACTTTGAACCTCAATTCTCAGATCCCTTCTGAGTATCTAGGATCTTGGTACCTGGCCTATTTTATTTCTGATGTGATTTTCAGGAATCTTTACCTTAATAGTAAGTTGTATAAAGAGCAATGCTTTATGTCTCTTTTCTATCAATTTTTTTTTATTTTTGCTTTGCTTTTGACATGCAGGCTTTCTTTTGGCTATATAGAAAATTGTTTTTTCTTTTATATTGTAAAATTTAGTGATCTTTTAGATTTTTCTACTCAGTCATCCCCTCACATAGCTTTATACTTTTATTTTTGATGTTGAACACTTGGATACCTTTGAGTTTTATTTTGGTAGAAAGAATCAGGTGAAGAGCCAACTTTATCACTGCTTTTTCCCTAGAGAACTAACTAGAGAAACTGCTAGCAGTTCCCTTGTGACTTGGTAAATGAGGCTAGTGAGTGGTCAGCTGTGTCCAGCTGGCCATATCTTCTGCCCTTCCGCAATTGCCCAGGCTTCTCTGGCAGACTGGATGAGGATGGCTGCCATCTTGGGAATACACCTGCAGCCCCTTTTGTGGAGCCTGGTGTCTGTATATCTTTGGCACATAGCTTGCCTGCTGCTTCTGCAGCTTTGGGAACTACTGGTGACCAGATGCTTCCCATCCTAGGTGGTCTACTATGTATTTGCCATCATTGGGATGGAAGTGTTCCATGACAAAGTTCGATTCTTTGGCCCAAATTTCACCACTCCTGATGCCTTGGTGTGTGGAAACCCAGTACTAAAGGGGTCAGCATTTGCCCAAGACCGGTATTGCAGAAACAACTTCAATGATCTAGCCTCCTCTTTCATCCTGCTGATGGAGCTCACGGTGGTCAATCAGTGGCACGATATCCTTTTTGGGGAGGTGGACTGACTCATGGGGCTGCCTGCTTGCTGGGTGGGCAGGGCTTGCTGAAAGAAACTTCCAGGAGGATGATTGTGCCTTGGCATCTTTGAGCGTTCCTTGAAGGTCTATATCCTTAGCTTTTCACTCCTGGCCAGTGGCTTTGCCCTTGTGACTCACCAGGCCGCCAAGCTGTATTTCATCTTGTTCCACATCGTGGTCGTCATTCTCATCATTAAGTGAGTTTCCTTCTGCCATCTTGTTCCCATGAGTGTTCTTTAAACTAGCTCCCAGAGTCTTATATATGGCAGAACCTCACAAATTGTTAGAATCCAAAGGAATCTGAGATCCTAGATGGTCTTCCTCTTCTAAGCTCAATTATTGCCCTGGTAGTCCAACCTCTGCCTAAGTTCATCCAATGCTGGGACTCTTTGGAGCCTAAAAGAGTCAGTTCCCATGTTTCTGTGCATTTTTTAACACTTCCATGGTTAGAATGGCCCCTAGGGGATCTTAGAGCCATAGAATCTTTCCCCTGTGATGGCCTTCTGGGATTGGCAGTGGCCTGGTGATTGCAGTAGGATGAGAAGCCACTCCTGGTGGATTTCTCTTCATTGAATCCAGGTTTGTCCCTACCCATTTCTATAGCAGAACTAAATATTTGCAATGGCCAGTGATATCTTGCCCCTTAGAAGGGCTCTCCTTCCAGCTACAGTCTTTGACTCTAGCTCTCTGTTTCCTTGTGTGACCTGTATTTGAGTCTCTGTGACCACCATGATCATCTCCCATTGGTCTTTCTAGTAGTCAGCCACATCTTTGAGGCTTAAGTCCCCATTCTTGGGGTGATTACCCAGCACAAGTTTCCTCCTTGCAACAGAAGGGCTTGTCTGTGTATTGTCCCAGTATTTTCATAGCATTCATCTTGGAGGCCTTCTTTGTGGCGTATTCACTAGAGAAAAGTGAGATCGAAACGGCCATTGAGAAGAAGATTCAAGAGCTTGGAGTGGGAATCCAAGAGTGAGTAGCCTGTTTTCCTTGTTGACTCTTAGCCATCAGCTCAGGAAGCCACGGAGCATCTGTTTAACCTGGGCCTGCCCCATGTATCCATCCTACATCCCTGGAGTAGGATATCGTAGTGTGGCCCTGCATGCAGCCAGACAGTGACCCTTGGAATTGTGGGATGAGGGCTGCTGGCCAAGGTCCTGACCGCATTCCTGACCACTCTTTCTCCTTGGAGGGATGACACGCAGGATGGAGTGCTCACTGACAATGTGGATGCCAATGACAGCAGCATTTGTGGAGGTGATGGAGACAGCAGAAGGCAAGGCTTGAAAGGACTATACTGTAGGATTGCATCAAAAAGTAAGCTGTCACCCAATGCCAAGCCAGAACTGACCTTTCTCTAATCCACCTGCTGCTGGCAGCCAGTGAGATGCAGATGTGAATGTAGTCAGGATGTACATGTGGCCTTCAGTGTCTTCAAGGATGAAGACCAGGCCCCTGATTGCCCTCACGCCTTGTGTCTTCCAGTCTTAGCCTCCCCCCCTTCCCACCCAGCCACCACACTTGATGTTCCTTAGCCCCATTGGTCTTTCAGCTCCTGGGCTCCCCAAGAGGGCCAGCTGCTCTGTGCGGCCCACTCCTCTGCTTTCCCCAATCTCTGCTCCTTTATAACTCAGAGACTATTTTGGTCTAGTCTACCTGCAGACTCAAATCTCCATGTATGCAAGCCATTTTCTAATCTATCTGTGGGGCCTAACAATGTACCTTCTCAAGTCCTGAATTACTTCATTAATTCTCAATGAATTGATGATTGGTTGAATAACCCCCCCCCCATACCCCACCAGTCTGATTTCAATTAAGGGTCTGGCCCAGATGCCCTGTGATGAGCTCAGACTGTGTGTGAATATGTAGCCATCAGGACCGGCTGCACTCCTTCCCTCCCTCCCTCCCTCCCTCCCTCCCTCCCTCCCTCCCTCACTCCCTCCTTTGCTTGGTAGGAAGGACTTTCTTGGTCTTCAGGCTGTCAGTGACTAGGACACTCTCCACAGTGTCCTTGGGGCCGATGAGCAATGCTTCCATGATATGCTCATCCTTCCTCTCAGGATTAGATCTCAATTCTTGGAGTTGTGTCTTCAACCCAGGGCCATCCTTGCTCTGCCAGGCTGGGTGATTTTACATGTCTCTTTCTCTCTTCTCCTAGAGTACAGAACTGTGGACGCCTTGCTGCAGAGGATGTTTGAGTCTGAAATTGCTCCCGATGATGAAGGTCCCTCCCTGAATGAGATTTTGAATTTCTCACCCAGTGACATATATCCCAGGAATCCCAATTTTGAAAACAGTGCCTGATGGTGGGCTCTCAGGGAGTCACAACCAGAAACCAAACTGCATCCATTTTCCCATATGCCAGCTGGAGGTGAGCTGTACAGCCAGCTCCCTCGATGTGTGGATAAGCCTATGAATTGGCTTCACCTGTCTGAGAGGTTGGCCAAGTGGTGTGGGGAGCTGTCTTAGTGTATCCTGCCTCAGGTCACTCTTAGGTCTGATCATGAAAGTAAATACAAGAAAACTGATATATAAAAGAAGTGCCTGATCTGCCCGTATCTGTGTGGGACATTTCTCCACTGGGTATATAAAAGCTTTTTCATTTATTTTTATATGAGATTTTGCTATTCTATTAAACTAATATTGTGTTAAACAAATGAACTTTGAGTATTTGAATATTATAAAGGTGTATGTCCTAGTAAGGTAGCTTTTTAATTCAGTGCTTGTTCAAAATATGAATGTGAAAATAGGAATGTCAGTTGGGAGGGGCTGCAGTGTTCTCAGACCTTCTTTAATTTCAAATGTAGCTACCACTACAGTACAATTTTGAGTAAGTCACTGTCTAAGAACACTTTTCCTAGCTGGAAATCAAGAATAGTGATATGCTCTTTTAAGAACGTAAGTGAGATTTCTGTTATTTATCTAAGAAAGATATGTGTTGAAACACATATAACATGGAATTTACCATGTTGGCTATTTTGAAGTTGGAGTGCAACAGTGATACTCACTCTTAGTCGGGTTTATATCACTGTAACAAAATACCTGATATGAACTATTAAAAGAATTTTTTTTGATCCAGGGTTCTCTTGGCTCTGATACTCTGGCTATTGACAAGTGAGCACATCATGATGGAGTGCATGGATGAACAGGCTGCTCATTTGATGGTGGTCAGGAAACAAGAGATTAGGGAAGAAACCGAGGTCCTGATATCCTCTCAAGGTCATATACCCAATGACCTAATTTCCTTTCTTTAGGCTCTGCCTCCTAAAGCCTCCACCACCTCCCAATAGCATTCAGGCAGGATAGATTAGAGAAGATGAGGCATAGTAAACAGCTGCCAGGAATTAAATAAAACAAACAAATTTAATCTTAAAGCAAATACAGGAGATATTCATCTATTTACTTAGCTGAAGATTAAGAGATCAAAGTCATTTTAGTGAGGCAGGATAAATTAAGGGAAATAAGGCCTGATGAAGTCAGCTTAGAAGCACTGTCTTCTACCTTGAGGTATCTCACCTCAAGAATTAGCATCTGTTTGATGGCAGGATGTTTCCCTTCCTGAGAGAAATGCCTCCAAAAATTAAAAGGTAGACCACAAACATAAACAACAATAATGGCAAAAGAGAGGCAGCAACTTAGAAAGTGTAACAACACCAAAAGTAATTAAGAACAGAATGTATCTATCTATATAACTTTAAGTCAACCCCCTTGTCTTTATCATATGAATACTCCTGTGGCTCCCTTTGAGAGCACTCACACTCTGTTAAGAGTGTGCCTCTGTCTTTCTGCTTGTCTGTCTGGTGTTTGGCCAGCTGTCTGCTTGCTTGCTTACTTAGTGAAGCTCTGCCATGTTTTCCTTCCTTCCTTCCTTTTCTCTTTCTTTCTTCTTTCTGTCTTTCTTCTTTCTTTTTCTTTTTTCTTCCTTTCTCCCTCCCTCCCTCCTTCCTTCTTTCTTTCTTTTTTTCTCTCCCTTTCTTTCCTCCCTTTCTTTCTTCTTTTCTTTTTCCTTCTTTCCTTTCTCTTTATTTTCTCTCTCCCTTCCTTCCCTCAATCCCTTCCCTTTTTCTTTCTTCCTTTCTCTTTCTTGCTTTCTTCCTTTCTCTTTCTCTCTCCCTTTCTTCCCTCCTTCCCTCTCCCTCCTTCCTTCCTTTTCTCCCTCCCTTCCTCCTTCCTTCCCTCACTCCTTCCTTCCTCTTTCTTCCTTTCCTCTCTCTCTTCTTTCTGCCCCTCTCTTCTTTTTCCTTCCTTGCTTTCTTTTCTCTCCCTTCCCCTCCTTTTCTTCTTTTTCTTTTCTCTTTTTCTTTCTTTTCTTTCTCTCCTTCCCTCCCTTCTTTCCTTTCTTTCCCGTTATGTCTTGTCCAAAATTTCTATTCTGCGATTGAAGTCAAGAACCCTAAGTGAAGAGTCCCTACTTTTAGAGGGAAACTTCACAAGCTCTCACCTGTATCTGGTGACAGCATCATAGGCTGGTGGCCAGGCCTCCAATACTGGAGCCTTGGGGATATTCTCATCTAAATGATAATACACACTCACGCTGTCATGCAGCCTTCACGGCTCAGCTCCAGGCTCAGCTCCACATGCTTCTCTCCCACAAAGCAGAAACTCATTCCCTGTCTAGCTCCCTGGCAACCACCATTCTACTTCCTATCTCTGTGGATTTGGTAGCTGTGGATTGCAGCTGTGTTTTGAGCAGGAATAGGCCTCTCCAGAGTCTTCAGAATAGATTCTTCTGTGCATTGTCACAGGCCCTGCCTTAAGTCAGGAGAATCAGTGTGAGTGTTTTCCCATGACCAAAGTCTGTGAGTGCAGTGAGAGCCACGCCAGGTGCATGTGCCATGATAACAACAGAGGCAAGCTTAGGAGAGGCTTTTCCCTTCTTTCTGAGATGCTTTCTGAGCCTTGTATGGAGCAAAGCCAAATGCCTCCAGGCATATAATCTAGAACTAGACTGTTGGTGTCACACCCAGTTGCTCACTGGGGTCCATTTCTTCACTCACAGAGTTGGGACAAGAGTGGCTCCCGCCCAAGCCTGTGAGGACAGAGGGAAGATGAGGTTGTTGTAACGCTGATACCTACTCATGAGCAGTGCTGTAGCAGTGTCTGCCTCATCTCACGTTGCTCTTCTCAGCTTACAACCTCACCTGGCACTAAGTGCTATAGCAATAGAATCCCATTACTAAGAACACTGTCAGGAATTGGGGATTTGCTGACTCTGATGTGGCTAGGGAATCCTGTCATCCTTCCAGATCTCTATTTCTTTGTATACCTAACACCTATTATTTATACCATATGTATGGATATATGATATATATTAGGTATTTCTTCGATTTAGTTACTAGATAGGGTATTGTCACTGACACAATATAGTAACATAGTTACAAGTCAGAAGTTACTCTTAGCTGGACACTGATGGCCATGCCTATAGTTCTGGCTATTCAGAAGACTGAGACCTGGAGGAGCCTGGGTAGAAAAATCTACAAGACTCCATGTCCAATGAACCAGCTAAATGCTGGCTTAGAGGTATGGCTTAAGAAGTAGAGAGCCAGCTATGAGCAAGAAAGCCAAGAGGCCCTGAATTTAAGCCCTAGTATTCACACACATTCACACACACACACACACACACACAGACACACACACATACTTTCCTTCTCTTTTTCCACTCATTCTGACACCCCCTTTTCCAGTTATTAGTCCATTCTTCTGAAACTAAATGAATCACTCAGATTTGTGTGTATCATGTATATTAGTATGCTATAGTTACATTTTAATGGGATGTCATTATATTTCTTTTTTTTCTTTTTTTTTTTTTTGGGTCTGGTTGTGGGGCCTGAACTCTGGGCCTGGGCACTGTCCCTCAGCTCTTCAGCTCAAGGCTAGGGCTCTACCACTTGAGCCACAGTGCCACTCTTGGCTTTTTTCTTATGTGGTGCTGAGGAATCGAACCCAGGGCCTCAGGCATGCAAGGTATGCCTACTCTACCACTGAGCCACCTTCCCAGCCCTGTCGTTATATTTCTTATACATTGTTCAGGCTTTTTACACTCAGCAGTAATTGTTTCATGTTAGTACACACATGCACACACTCCATCTCACCTAAATTTCATGATTAAGAATCTATCCATTCAATATATATATATATATATATATATATATACACTTTCACTTGCTTAACATTAGATAATTAAATTATGAAATAAACATGTTTTGTTTTGTCTCCATATGTGAATCCTTTGGGAAGAATTTCTGAGATCGATTTAGTGCCAATGACTATTCAAAATGCACTTTTTCAACTGATGCTTCTTCCCCTTATGGCCACCAGGGGACAAACCAAGCCAATCATCGTCTGCAGGCTTGGCTCAAAGCAAACTGGGAGGGCAGTGAGGCTTACCTGGTATTTCAGTGAATCAAGCTCTCTGCATTTTGATAGATGGACTCCAGCTGGAGCCTTCCTTCCCCAGTCTACTGGCAGAGGCTGAGCAGCTGTGAGCCTGGCTGAGGCTTGTCATTTGGAACAGTTTCCCCCTCCGTTTCTGCTGTCTGGTGAGGCATGGCAATGATGATTACAGAATCTTCATGTGGTAGACCACTACCTGCATGGGATCACTCATCCCAAGGTTAAAAAAGAAACCACTCGTGTATCCTGTGAGCCAGTGGATGGGTTCTGTGTTAGAGATGGGTGTGTATGACATACTGTTGAATGGTGTTGAGACACAGGATGAGGGGAATGGAGGATCCATGACACTGGCTTCTTGAATCCATGCACAGAAAGGTGCACAGTGCAAGTCCATAGTGCAGTCCAGGTTCAGACCTCATCAGATGAACAAGTCTATGTTCATGTGTAAATATTTAAACAACCAAATTTTAATAAGCAAGTCGGGGTTGGAGGTATAGCTCAGGGGTAGAGCACCTGCCTAGCACAATCCAATATCCTGAGTTCAAACTGCAGTGCTACTAAGAAGAGCCAGATTTGTGGTATTTTTTTTTCTTTCTGAAAATAGGCTGTATTCAAAGGAAACTGAATTGAAGGCAATAAGGGTGCAGCATTAACAAACACCAGGTCACAGATGCAGCTGTATAGGGCTTCAGTCTTAGAAGGGGAATCTACTCAATGCGCTTCCAGACCCTGTCACATAGCCTATGTCAACAGCAGCTCATCTGCTATGACTGGATCTTCACCTATAACACATACAAAAACATCTCCCATGCGATGTGGTTCACATGAGCAACTCATCCACAATGTGGCCCAAGTTCTGAGAGCAACAATATGCAAAACTCAATCTACACGGTTATTTGAAGCTCTTTAGCCATATGCCCAATACAAACATGTAACAGATCATCTTTATTTAGCCATGGTTGTCTGGATTATACATACACACATAGCATGAGGGAAAAGGCTTTTGCATCTAAGAGACCCTTGAAGTGCATGCAACCCAAGTCAGTGTTGAAAGGGAGAAGCAGCAGCATCCAGTTCCCTTCACTAATGAGATTAAAGATTCCTGATGAATATATTCATCGGTGCATCTCAGCATCACAGCCCATCCTGAGTGTGCAGACCTTGACTGATACAGATCTAGGTTCAGGCTTTCAGTGGTTCCCATTCGTCCTTGGCTGCTGCTACACAATCGAGTTCTATGAGACTAAGGCTGCTCACAACAGTCAGGGACTCCTGATTCCAGTGTTTTTCCC